CCCCCATACACACACTTCCTCTACTCTCTCTGGTTTTTTTGCCTTTTTCTCAACGTTAAATTCCCATTATCACGTCGATGAGCTTCTTTTTACTCACGTCTATTTATGTGTCTTCCACCCCCACCCAAGCAAATAACTGCAAGCTCTCCTTCTCACTACATCGTGCCCTCTGTCCCCACAGATGGCCGCACTGAATCAGGGAGGCCTCATCTTACCCGGTACCCCTCCCCTACTACAAGCGACTGTCGACCCTACGAGTGTGTCCGGCGCAGCCACTGTCATCCTCACCACTCCGGTCCTCACAGCTAACGGCATGGCCAACATGGCCATCAGTGTACCCACGGTACTCATGCCACAGATGATGCCCTCTCATATTCAAGAAGGAAGTGCAGGAGGCGGAGTGAACACTCTGGGAAACGCACGCATTAAAACCTCGCCTGGACGGCATACCCCTCAGGGGAGGGGCGCTACATCATCTCCTTTACCGTCTCCCCGCGGAAAACGGACACCTACGTCATCTGCTACGCACTTCTTGTCTCCTCCAACGCCGCAGTCCACCTCATCGCGGCAGGATTATACTCGGACCTTGGAGGAACTGCACAGAGGAAAAACGTTTGCTGCCACGCCCTCCAGTGGAACTGACCAGCATAGTGACGGAGGTGGTGACGATGACGTGGACCATCCTTTAGATTTGACAGTGACCAAAAAGGAACCGGTTTCTGATGCTAGTCAAGATGACCAGAAGTCTGCAAATTTCTTCCAACCAGACAAAGATGGTGCTCTTGATGCAAGGAGAGTCATTCGAACGTCTTCATCATCTTCTTTGTCAGATACTGCCATGTCACATGATTCTTATGAGAAAGATCTGAAGAACGACAGCATGAAAATGTCTTCCAGTCCATTACGCTCTACACAGTGTGAAAGCACTTCATCATCTTCATCTTCTCAGCGTCACACTAGATCTGATTCGCCACACGCAAGTGCTAGCCACGCCCCCACTGCCATATTGCCCCACCCATCAGTTCTAGTTCCGAATACAGCATTCCTGGCAGCTCATGGTGCCACTCCTCTCGCTCTGTCACCTCCTGGCAAATTAGCGGCGAGTATGGGCACTCTGCCTTCCCCTTCAGCTCCAAATAACATCAGCAAGTGCTCCGACTGCAACATTGTCTTCTACAAACACGACAACTATCTCATCCACAAGAAACATTACTGTTCCGGCAAGAGAAGAGGGAGTATCCCCTCTGAACCCCCTCATCTTCTTTCGTTGAGCTCAGACCATCACCTCATTTTAGACGATAAACCGAGTCTTTCTCAACGCAGTTCCCCTTCGAGACATGGATCTGAAGTACCTTCATCATCCAGAGAGTCCCCCAAAGCGCCAAAACAAGAGATGTCCCCGCCAGCTGCCCCCAAGCCTGGTGGTGACATGACATACAAATACTTTTGCGTGCCGTGCCGAATCAAATTCAGTAATGCTAGTATTTTAGAGGCGCATAAGGAATACTATTGTCCTGCTGGGAAAGACAGTGAGCAATCAGTTATCCTGCAGTCTGCGAATTCCTCCGAGCAAGTGGCGCTGAGCTCTCCTTCAGATGAGGTGGACGACGGACCTCCTGACTCGCCCCAGGAAGAGTTTACGTGTGCTAGATGTAACAGTATCTTTGCCTCCGCTCGCTTGCTGCGCCTGCACATGTGTGAGGGTGGCTTCCCTTGCCCGCACTGTGACCACGTCGCTATTACTGAAAATCGATTGGCTGAGCACATGAAAGTCCACGCTCCTACGAGAGCTTATCGGTGCACTATTTGTGGATACCGCGGGAATACTGCTCGTGGGATGCGGATGCATGGGAAAACCCACATAGACGAAGGAGTAGAGTTCACAGACGAGAACATGCTTGAATATCACGAGCCAGCGCTTGTCCCCATCATCCAGAGTTCGGTCGCCACTGGTTGCACCGATACAGAACTCTTAAGACTGAAGAACGAGCCCTACAAACGTCGCCGATCTCGGAAAGCGTACGAAAAGTTTGACTACCCTCTCCCTAAAGTAGACGTTCCCCAGACGTGTCCGTTATGTGGTCAGAACTTTGCCAACGCCGATTTTCTCGCTTCACACTTCAAGGTTCACGAGATAGCGGCTTCCCAGTACGTGGCGGGGCTCATGAAGTGCATTCATTGTGATTATGTGGGTAAATCTGCCGAAGATCTTAGAGCACATTTCGAAGCAAACCACACCGGTCAGTTACGTAGTCGAATGCAGAGGGAATCGCGGTCTCCCGTGAGGCCAGGACTAGACAGGCGTACAACTTCTGGTATTGACCATCGACGTGATCAACGTGCTCAAGATGAGCTTGACGATGACCATGACAGCTCTCATGAACAAGACAGAATTATGGTAGTTAGGGACCCTAACTCACCTTTCGATGAAAAGCCGCTATTTTCGACATCGGAGGAAGGAGAGGAATTCGACAGGGCATCTTCAGCTCGCAATATGGAAGACTCGAATGACAGCTCACATCTTCGTGTTGTTGTTAAGCAAGAGCCGATGGATCCAATCGACGGGGAAGAAGCACAACAAATCCCGAAAGTTGATCACTTTTTGCACCCTGTGCGTGCAAAATTGAGATCTGAGTCGACCTCCGAGGATGGAAATGACAATCATCACTCGAATGAACTATCCATGTCGCCATCATCACCCCTAACAAGAGGCTCTGTGGATGACAACAATCGCCATAGGATGACGTCACCTCAACGTTTTGTCCCTGGTCAGGAGCAGCTACCTGAAGGGACAGACACAGTGAGCCATGACGTCCCTCGTGTTAAACCAGAGCCAGTTAGTGACAGTGATGAGTCTCGCTTAACTCCAGGCATAGAAGTAAGATTTGCTCATAACAGCCAAAATCAGCTGTCTCGCCCAGAAAGTGAGACGGGAGGAGATATACCACCAGATTCTCCAGACTCTGGCAATACAGTTAAGGCCAGCAGCACCTGGCAGAGAGACTCGGCCCGTAGACCGAGAGCTCATCCCCGTGGAGAGAGTGTCTCTGGTGATGAAAGCATTGATCAAAGTACTGCTCCCGAAACATTCGTCATCAAGTCTGAACGGGACTCACCTTTACCGGACCATGGGACGCCCAACCCAAACTTTTTGATGGGTTCACCCTCACAGCCACACCTACGCCAGTCCCCGACGTCCCCAGCACATGCAATTACAACATCATCATCGCCGCCATTATCACTTACGTCATCGTCTCGTACGTCACCCGTCGCTGCGTCTTCTTCCTCGTCATTCTCTGCCGCAAGCTTGGGCACCTCAGGGCCTAGCATCAGCATCAAACAGAGCACATCCCCTCCAGCACCCACAAGTCTCCCCTCCATGGCAGCTTTCCCGAACCCGGCCGTCTTCCCACCATACCACCCATCCCTCCTCTCCACACCAGCAGCCACATTTCCATACGCCGCTGCCTCTTCACTTCCATACTTCTTCCTCCCGTCCCACCCCCACCGACCTCACTCTGGGGCCTCCCCTTCTACACCATTCCCACCGTTGCTGAGAGACGAACGACCTGGTACCCGCTACTGTCAGAACTGTGACATTTCCTTTTCTAAGCAGGCCACCTATCTGGCCCATAAGAAGCACTATTGTGAAGGACGTCCTCGGGGCGGTGATACACAGTCATCGGCCAAAGCCTGATGATCCCCAGCTATGGCGTTGTAAGTTTTGAACTTGATCTGTCATGTTCGAGTTCAAATCCCAGTTGGGTACCTATCTGTAGAATATCTCGTCCTTCCAGATATATTTCTTCTCACCCAATTGTTCCGACAATTGTCCATCTATGAAATGATCTATGTTGTGCCCAGTAGGGCTTCAAACTTCTGGGACTGCAATCAATTACGCAAAAAGCCCGATACCACACTCGGACTCGCATAGAGCGCTATTTCGTCGGGCAAAGCCACGCTTATCACTAGATCTATACTAATTTATCGCATGGCAATGGCAGTGCAATTATTTCATAGAGATATCTTTGTGCTTGTTGATCATTTTTAAATTCTAAGGTGGCATAGTGAAAAAACGGGTGGGCTACTAGATCTAGCACCTGATGTTTGGACTGTATGGGGGTCGACAACGTAATGTACTAAATACTGTATCAATTTGGATCGGCACACTATTGTTGTCCATATTGATACTACAAATCCAAAATGATACTGAAAATTCTGTCTTATACCTGGGCCAGGACTGTAAGTTAGATAAAAAGAGACAAAATTAAATTGGTTTCTCTGAAAGCGTGCAGCGGATTACAATAACTGCGAAAACGGATCTGGAGCAATTGAAGATTTCTCTTTTTTACTTTACAGGGCCACAGAAAACAATTTAGTAGTAAAACGCGAACCATACCCTGCCAGGTTGCTTGACGTTGGCATGAATGTCGCTAATGCTAATGCTTCGTCGTCAGAATTATTAGTGTAATATTTCTTTCTCTCTTGTTTTTCTTTTTTAAATTGATTGTCGCATTTCTACAATTTCTCACCTTTCCAATTGTTAGTCACCATTCTCTGGTGATTGAGTGTGCATAAAATAATGGCGCCTAACGTGCAAATGTCAATTGTTTCGCACATTAATTTTTTATTATATCCATTAAGTTTAAGAAAGTAGGAGCAAATCTCACTTGGCTTTGTTTATATATTGTAAGTGTAGGTTTTTGTTAGCCTCATTTTGATTTCCAAGCTTTTTTTTGTTGTTGCTGATGCTTGCCCCCTGCATTTATTTTCTCTTTATTGCAAAGTGCGCTTTCTCTCAGTGGATCAGTTTAGTTTACAAAACACTGTTCATTTTTGTTGGCTTAGATCTTTCCCTCTATCATGTTTTGTTTTTTTTAAAGATTATGAACAAGACATGGCGGTGCTTGTTCAGCCCATTCTCTGTTCCTACTTAAACTCATGACCCATGATAATAAACGACACAATCCCTTTGCAGTGTCGTGTCGACCATTACTACCCAAAAATTATGTATATTATACATAGGACGATTGTATATACATGTATTATCAATATAAAGTGGAACAATTTCCAACATGTGTGCTTTCGCCATCAACAGCATTAATTTAAAATGTACAGTGAATCTCTGATAGCAGCTGCCACTCAGTGTTGCCTTTATTTCTTGTATTTATTATTTGATAAAGAATTATTTTTATGCCGTTCACACTGATTAATTTTCTGTTTTAAGTAAGAAAATACCATAGCCATGTATGGCAATAACATTATGTTCTCAACTTGTATGACAAGTTGAGTAAAATCCAGCTTTCAAACTACTTATTATGCTTCTTTAGAATATAAAGTGTGTGTCGGGAATATTGTCTCTCACGTCTCTTTTGTTGTTGTTGTTGTTGTTGTTGTTGTTGTTGTTGCTGTTTTGTTGTTTTTGGAGTTGTTATTGTTGTCGTCGTCATCATCATTGTAGTTGTTGTAGTTGTTCGTGTTGTCCTCGTCGTCGTCGTCTGTGTTGTTATTGTTGTTGTCGTCATTGTAGTTGTTGTTTCTGTTGCTTGTAATCAAGTAACCTTGGAGTCCGTACTGTTTGTTTGTAGGCCTTCATGTATTGTGTATTCATTGGAATTGCTTAAGAATTGGCTTAACCAAGACATGATTGTTCAAGTTATATTTTCGTGTTGATCAAAACGAGGCGATACAATAATGTATTTGCTCGAGGCACATAATTATATATATA